CCCTTTCTTTCTGTTTCTGTTGAGGCAATGTACATTCTAATTTCCAATAATGCTGGGACTTTATTATGTATCAGGATGCCACATATCTCCAATGCTGAACTATACGTCGTCTGTGTCTAATTGTCATTTTAATTAGTGGGACCCCGGGTAAATTGATGTTGTATTTAGCTAACACCAGCTGCAATTAAAAAAAAAATATTTAAAAAAATATTTTTATGAAATTAGTTTCATAAGATTACCGACAAAATCAACAATATTACTCACATTTCTGTGTTTTTCTGCTACTTTGCAGAAGACCTAGCTGCATGACCATAATGCCTGACTAAATTTCAATTACAAAGCCGTAATAACAGCTATTGATCATATTTAATTATAAGGACACGCTTTTCATTTTAATGGTGATCGATCTCACCTAACAGCTTAAGTTGGTAACTGATGATCTTTTAATAATTTTAGATTATATATCTCTAATATATCCTCTTATGAAAGAGCCTTTTGAACTTGAAGTGTAAATATTACATAAATCCATTTTTATTCATGAGGATCGAATTCGTGACTTCATCATCATCGTATAAATCAACCATCTCAATTAAGAGCGTAAATGGTAGGCCTTTAATTATTTTATATATATTATATCTGTGTAACAAATGGTCTCGTTCCCATTCAGTATATAAAGTAAGAAATTGAATGTACAGCTGCAAATTTTTGGTTTGCTATAATGGAATTCATGAGAGGCTAAGGTTACTTCCCATCCCTTTACAGTGAGGATGTTACTTGCATTGCCCGAATGAACTCTAAAACAACCTGAAAAAACAAGTGACAAAGAAAATATCTCACACGAGCATTTATGGGCAAGTTCATGATCAGTTCTTAAAACTTTTATATAAGAATAAGTGCGAGAGGGAAAGGAGATCAAAGGGACTCCAAACATGTATTATATCCAAGTGTATCTTGTGATATTTTCCTTTCTTCTTATCCTATTTCTGTGAGATATATATGTATGTGGTGATGTTATTACAGTTCATAAAAGCATTTGTGTGTGGTCAGATACTCTTAGATGTACACGAGACAGAAACAACACGTATGTCATGATGCAACCAACATAAATCAATGATTGAAACAAACTTTTCCTTTTTGTTTGGTATGGATTTTTCTTTTTCCCTCTTTGATGGTATTTGAGAAATGATCAAAGGAATGGAAATTAGGTGGACAAGTGTTGGCTTGGTGACCATTAGTCATGAAAAAAAAAAGTTCGACGGTGAAAGAATAAATCGATTGCACGGGCGAGGTAACTTAGAAGAAATAAAGTAAGTTATGCAAATAAAAAAAGGGAAAAATATTCCTGCACTTAAATCAGATAAATTATCTGTATTTATTCACAAAATGATATCGTTTTAAAATTGAAAGATTAAAAAATTATAATTATAAAGACTATAATAACCTTGAAATAAATTAAAATTATAAAAACACCATAATTTCCACCTAAAACAATGTCATATTGGGCTTATTGCAGATAACTTATCTGCAGCGATTGCAGAAAAAGCAAACCTATAAAAGAAAATATAAAGAAGTGAAAGTTATATTTATAAATTTTTTATTTATAAATTATACTATATTTGACCGGTAATATACTCTTGAATAGAGTATTATCGGTCAAACATAATATAATTTGTAAATTTATAAAAAAAATTTATAAACGGATATTTTTCGTTGTAACAAATAGTTTGTTGTGAAATAAAAGGAAAATAAGAAAGAAACAAAGAATTCGTTGGAGATATAGAAAAACTGTAAAAGTTCCACGTACTGTACTGCATAAAATCAACTAGTTTGACATTCATAGTCAAACTCTGAATCATCGTAGTCGATTTTTTTTTTTTAATTTTAAATTATTGCAATGCATGTGTCCGTATATAAAGAACTGTCAATGTTATTGTTCCACGGAATTAAATAGTGATTAAATAATTTTGAGTTTCTCTCGTCATAGGTGATCATGTTAAACTGGGCTATGTTATGATGTGTAATAATTTGTGGCCATTTTTTTCTTCAAAATTATCGTTTCTCTAATAAAGTTATAATTTAATCTCAAAATTGAGATAATTAACATGCTATCAGACCATAAAAATATATGAATTATTTAAATAGATTAACTCGCTCACTTTTTTTAATTTTAAATGCTTGATGAATCCGCATATTTATAATTTTAATACAAGATATGTATTAATAGGAGTACTGAAAATTTCATCCCTATTAATACGCTTGTCCTATCTTGCCCTCTGCTCGGCAGTGTTTTAAAATCTCACCTCATCTTTCGGATTGACTCGGGTCAACTCTGACTCCTCTTTTTGAGGGTTGGGATCACAAGTTAGACCCTATATGCATATCGACTCCTCCGACTCCCAAAATCTAGCCGGATTTTCGTGACTCCCGAATCAGATGGGTCAAAGGTGGTCATTACATGCTTTTATTAAAAAAAAAATCCATGAAACAATATCGTTTTATTAAACAAATAAAATAAAAATGCTTTAAAACCTAAATCTAATCGTTCTCTTCTTTCCCAGCGACCTAGATGTCTTCAATCTTCACTTCGCTGCCGTGAATCTTCCAGAAAAGGTAAGAATTTTACCCTTTCAAATGAAATCCTTACGGTCGTCGATGGAAAACAAAAACTCATTCTTATTTCCTTTAAATTTTCCTTTGTCAGGACCTTCTCAAAAGAGGCAGAACCGGGTCAGCGTAGTGACCCCATTAGAATATGAGTTTTGTACTTTGGTCTCTTGATACTTTAATTAGGTTGTGTAATATTGACTTGTGATTGTAATTGGTGAATTATGTTAAGTATATTTTGAATCTTTGATCATTGGTGATTTATTTTTTAATATTTTCATATAAGATATGTATATTTATATTTTTTTAATATATAAAATCGAGTTAGCGTAGTGACTCATCACCTCCCGATTGAACCTGTGACCCGTGACTTCAGCCGAGTCGATGGCCGGGCCGAGTTTTTAAACACTGCTGCTCCGGACCCTATCCTTTCTCTCTCACCAAACCTAAAGAAAAAAGAAAAAACATTGTGCATTACCATACACTACATAATTATCTTTCCTTCTAGTTATTGATCATTTTAAATTATAAATAAGATATTAATGATAACTTTTTAGTTTTCATTATTTATTCTTGTCTTCGACGAAGAAAGAATGTATTTTTATTTTATTTTTTTTGGTATCCAGAAAGAATACATTTAATAGTGAAGAATTAATCAAATTACCGATAAGTATTAGAGTTTAAATTGACTACGATAAAGGTATATATATCAGTCAAATACAATAAGCTTTTACTAAATTTAAAGTTAATTAATTATATATCTGTACTAAAAAAACAGTTAATTAATTACTTTTTTTATTTCTTATACAGCAAAATTAATCATTAAATATTGTGAATAGGAGAAATTAGTTTACACTGAATAATTAATAATCCTTCCTTTTTCTAGTTATTTAAATATTGGAGAGATAAACAATCAATCTGCATAATGATGTTGAACTTCCCCTCTTAAATGAGAAATTAAATAAACCTGAGCTTTGGATGCAGAAGTCAAAATGTAAGTTATTCACGTGGATTAATAGGAAGTATCAATTATTTTTTTTTCTGTTTATTATTATTTTAAAATTTTTATTTAATTTAATTCTCTTTATTAAATAAATGATTTAAACTAGTGATTTATTTTTTTTCTTAGTGCCTGTTTGAGAGATTTTTTTTAACTTATTTTCTACTTATAAGTAGAAGTTAGGCCAAATAGATTTTTACAAAAGCTCTTATAATAAAAAAAATATTTTTTTATAATAAAGAAAAAAGTCAAAAGCCAAAAAATTTTAGGAAAAACTTTTTTAAGTTGTATCAATTTTTTTTGGAATGTATGTTTTTTTTTAAATGAACAGCTTTTAAGCATCTTTTAAGTTAAATTAAAATTTTATATGATCATCAAACAGTTTGTAGCTTTATTTCTAAAGCTCATTTTTTTAGCTTTAGTTTAAAAATAGTTTTTAGTTTAAATTTTTTTTCAGACAAGCTGTTATACTTGTATAATTTTGAATTCATTGAATAATTAGTTATAAATATATAAAAAAATTCTATTACACAGTTTGCACTTATTTAATTTTAAGTTATATGTTGAACAGGTAAAAGTGTATTGTAGCTTTTATCCGCAATATTAAAGTGTTAATAGTCAACACCATAAAAATAAATTTTATATAATAACTTTTTCGGACTTAAAATTACATGAGTAATTCAAACACTAAGTAATGTCTGGGAATATAAAACATGACCATTTGCACTTAAGTTTTCTATTAGCTTTGATTAGATGTTATATATATATATATATATATATATATATATATATATATATATATATATATATATAATATGCATACAACGATAATTTTTTTACGCATAAAGATATAATCAAATATAAACCTAAATTTAACAGATAATAGAAAGAAATAAAATTGGTTGTGTACTTTGCCGTCAAGACTTGGTTTGTAAACATTCTTATGATAAAAAATAAATAAATAAATAATTTGTATTAATATAAAAAAATTGTGGGTAAATTATTACGAAAAAATTCGTGCATATTTATAAAATATTGTGTCGATTCGTGAAATTTTTTTAAAACAATCTGTGAATATTTTAATTCCTTATTCTTAATGATTCTTACAATCTTACCTTTATAATTTCTTAATTTATATATATATATATATTTTGATTCATCTTTATATGATTATAATTTATTAGCCGGAGATAAAATTATCTCTGATAGCTTGAGAAACTACAAGCTCTATATATATATAGAGCTTATCATAGTGGGCTAGACTCTGTTCATTAAATTCCCTTCATCAATTTACCAAGCACGTAAGCTCTAAATCGAATCACAAAGCTTATAATTTGAAGGCATTTAACCAAACAGTTTAAATTAGAATGTATTGGCTGATACTAAAATTGATGTATTGGACAATTGAAACTTCAATTACTAGGAAGAAGAATGAAACAATTAAATCAAAAAGCAAGATCTCATCACAAGAACTTTACATACATTTCCAAGTGAGGCATATTAAGAGTATGATAATGATGTTAACTAGTTTACTAGTAAGATTGATAGATGAGGCCTAGCTAGTCCCATATGTCACAAGTTGAAACTAATGTAGAAAAACTGGGGGATCACCACCACATGTAACTTTCTCTTGGCAACCAGCATCATCTAGAAGCCATTTTTCAAGCAAAGAGAATGGCATTTCTGCACCAATATCAGGCTTGCTTTCATCTTGTAAAACAGTAGCCTCAGGTGACAAGGATTGTGAAAACTCAGAAGTTGAAGACTCCAAAGACTCAAAACCAAACAAGGATTCAAAAGTCTCTGACAATTCAGCACTGCTTCCCTTTGGGCTTCCTTCACTTGAAGCAGTATCAGTCCCTCCGGCAGCTATGTTGTTGAAGGAATTCTGAGTCACAACTGAGTTAGTGCAAGAGGACTTTGGTGGGTTTTTCATCCACCCTTTCAGCAAACGAGCTATGTTCTCAGCGCTTGAAGCATAGCACAAAGATTGGGTTTGTTTAGTGGAAGAGAAGAAGCTACTATTGGAAGGGTTTGATACAGATAAACAAGATGGTTTCTCTGGTGAAAGTGCTTCACTAAGAGCTCTCTTGGCCATATGGATATCAGTTTGGAGCCTTCTTTCCCACTGACCTCTAGGAATTGGTTGTGATGTTGAAAACCCTTCTCCCAAGTTGCCTTCAGAACCTGTTTGCAATTTCTTGAGCTTCTTTTTCAAATGGGTGTTCCAATAGTTTTTTATGTCATTATCTGTTCTTTGTGGAAGGTATGAAGCTATGGCAGCCCATCTGTATACCATAATCAATGTGATCTAGTTAAGCATATGAGAATCCAAAAGAACTTACCAAATTAAAATACTCAAAACATTTAAAATAAATAAATAAATCTTCAAAATTGATTAAGTATAGATATGAATCTACCTGTTTCCTAAAAGATCTTGAAGATGGATTATCATCTTCTCCTCTTGTTCTGTGAAGTTACCCCGTTTGATTCCTGGCCTCAGGTAATTCGTCCATCTAAGTCTACAACTCTTACTGCATCTTGACAATCCTGAAAACCCCAATAAGATGAATAAATCAATTCAGATCATGTGAAGTAAAACCAATTCGGATCAAAGTTCTCTTGAATAAGAATTTTATTGTTCATGATCTAAGAGAAAGAATAAAGAATAGCCTATACACAAAATCACAAAGAAAAAAAAAAAAAAAGGAAGAGTGAGAGTATTAACCTGTTTTGGTGGGAACAGCCCTCCAATTGCCAGGACCATGTTCCTGTATATAAGAGACCAATATGATATCTTCTTCAGGTGTCCAAGGACCTTTCTTGACACCTTCTTTGTCACAACAAGGTGGCCTTCCCATGTCTCCTTGTTTTCTTTCTCTCTTTATTTCACAACCTTTATACTTGTCTAATTCTAACTTTCTAGCCCCTTCTGCTCAAGGAAAAAATAGGTCGTTTTCCTCTCCTCTACCTGTGTGATCTCTTCTCTTTTTAAGATATATCTATCTATCTAACTATCTATCTTCTAACTTGATAGGTTTCTAAGGCAAGTGTCCAAGACTAACTTATTCTTGGGGTCCATATATAGCCAAAAAAAGAAGAAGGGTAAAGGGACATTGAGGGGTGTGTGAGGAAGCTGACTTAAACAAGTAAAGAGAGGAAGCAAAGAGTCAAAAGTTGACAGCAAGAGCATTAACTGAGGGAGCAAATGCCAAATTATTCACCTCAGCTGGGGCAATACCTCTCTCTATCTATGTTGTACCTCTCAAAACCGCGTGGCATTCAATGTGGCTGCACTGGGAAAAGCTTAATTATCTCACCTTGGAAAGTTCCTAAATCTCAGCTGCCATTTAATGTTAAATGAGATAAAGCTGACTTTTGCAAAGCCTAATAGGCTATTGCCTTTATTTCTTCCTTTCCTGCTGTTGATCTCAATGAAACCACCACCCCTTCTTTCTCTTTTAACCTATCCCTAAATTTATTATTTGCATTTATACTTTGATTATAAAATTCATATTTTGGACAGAGACCATAACCGACACTACCTTTGCTTCTTCAGAAAGGGTTAAGAGATCTATATATTATCCCTTTGCTTAAGTACACTGGTAAGTTTATACAACGGGAAGATTTGTTTCGGCAATTAAAATTATAAGCTATATTGTTTTTTGGGTGTTTTAGGTTTACCTTGTTTGAGAAATTTATTCTTGCGCGATTTTCAATTTGCAAGCATGTAAGTTTATTTATTATCATTACTATTATACACATTTGTTAAGATCTACTATGGTAGACCTTTTTTCTCTTAATTACCGGTGTCTTGTTTAAAATTAATGGTATAACCAACAACTAACACAATATTTGTCAGCTAATTAGAGTACCAATACGTACCCAAAAAAAACTATTGAGTTATATTTTTTTATAAAAAATAAATAAAAGGACTTTGGTAACGAAATAATCCTCAATATTGTTTGTGATCAATTAAGCCCTTTGAAATTCGAGTCAAGATCTATATAATTAGTGCATGGCCAATTAAGAGACTGACTTCACCTTCCTGCATACAGATCAAGAACATAATGCATGAATATGTCGACTGTAAACAATTATAAATCGATCATGCAATAGGTGATGGGAAACATAGCCACCAAAAACTGTTTATACTTTGAAAACAAAATTCACAATAAATTTCATATATGATATTTGGAAGAGTACAGGCATCCATAAGAAGGCCCACACTGCCTTAGAAAATGTGTCATAGGTGCTGCTCATTTATACAAATATCAGCGAACACAGAGGGTTCAAAGTACCTCTAAGTATCTAACTCTCTAGATTCGCCCTTCCAAGTTGAAACGGAAGAAGCACCAGTTAGAGTTTCATGACTGATTAATTAATTGAGTGAATTTCAAAGGATGGATCCGACAAATCTATAGTTGAATTTTAGGGTTTACAATTGTTCACATGGCATGATTTAAAATACAGGTATAAAAATCAGTGTTGCTGTTGCATTCCATCAAATGTGAAATTCCGTTGGTTGGATAATTTTCATGCGATGGAGAAGTATCATTAATGCTATCTAAAAACTACTTTTAGGATAATTTAGTTCACTAAGCGCCACAATAATTGAAAGGTTTGATTAATAAACAGAACACACTTCGAAGTACATATCCTTTTATGCTTTAATATGAGATTAAATTGAAAAAGATCTGGGCAATTTTTGGTTATTTATAAGGTACTACGTTTAGCTTGTTATATATAAATTATTTAAATATTTTTTTAAGGTAAAAATATTCTAGAGTCAACTCAGTCCTCAGCGATATGGTGCAATTTGTATAACTAATTCTCATAGGTAATTAGTGTCGGACCCTATTTATTATCATGATACTATATATATGTTAGCACTAAGAATACATCCCACTATATATTTATGGAAAACGTTAAGATTTATCCTATTAAATCAGAGGTCTAATCCCAACAATATGTGACGACAATAATTGTGACTAGGACTAATTAAGCAAGTGTATGGCCCTTAATTTAGTTGTTAAACGCAACCTAACAGAGGTCAAGGTTTTTGCAATTTTATTAAGCAAAACTTCTCCAAGAGGGAATCAATAGAGGTTGAATATCAAAAGGTCTATAAATAAATTGTTACAATACAAGAAAAACAAACAAAAACATATCCTTGTCTTGTGACCTAAAAAAATCTTTAATGACATAAAATGTGATTTGCAAATAATTATTTACAACCAATTTTGTAACATTTGGAAATAAAGAAGCAATGTTTCATAAAATAAGTAAGTTTGCGATATATTTCTATTTTTTATTTTCTGTTAAAAATTATGAATTTGGTGGTCAGTTTTTCTGTCAAATATATTTCTGTTTAAATATTTTATTATTACGTTGTGATTGAAAAATCCATGCTAAATATTTAGAAAAAAAAAATCGTATATATATTGATTATTTTATTTATTTATTTTTGTAAATTAGACATAAATTAAGTCACTAATTATTTTCTATTTTTTTATACTATCATTGAACTTGATAGGTGTCAACATCATTGAACCTTATATTAAAAAATATTTATTCTTCTTCTTGTGTTAATTAATTAGGGGAAAATGAATTTATGAGTAAGAGATAGCTGAAAGTTCATCTTCGTCATTAGCTCATGCGATAACTTCTTCAATTTCTGTTAATTTTCATTATGTTCTACTCTCTTTCTAAGTTCATGTTCAGTAGCTTCAATTCTACCTAAGCATTTCATTCAAGTTCAGCGTATTTCTTTACTTGCCCCTGAATTTTATTTTCCTTTTTGATGGTATTTGACCAAGACGTCCTCGGACATGGTTGCTCCTAAATTTATTGAGTATATACGCATCCATTCGATTGATGATGAACCTTAGCTAGCCATGAGAAAATATACTTTACATTATCACGGTTCGTAATCTAGTATCCATCACTTTCATTATGGAACCTTGTTAATAATCTTTGGAAGTGAGGAAGCCACCTAGCTACCGTCGACTTTCGTCTTCAGACCCCAAGTCAACGTGGGTGACTGTTAATCTTCGCTACATACATTAATTATAGAGACGCTAACTCTTAAGTTGTACTCCATTATCACAACATGCCATATGCAGCAAGTTATTTGATTGTCAATCCTAATCATAACATTTTTCTTTCTTAATTTATTATATCAACACACCTTCCCACATTATTTACAAATTTGATTTTGAATGATGTTTTTTTGGGGATAACTTTATTGTTTAGATACCTTCCCACATTATTTACAAATTTGATTCTGAATGATGTTAATTTTGCAAAATTGGTTCTAGTTAAAAATGAGTACGTTTACGAAAAATGAAATAAATAAATTATTAACCAAATAATGGTAATTCAGCTGGAGTCAGGAAAGGACATGTGTTCTTTTCTCTTCAGTGTCATCTTTGGAAAGCATTTAAAGCCTTAATCTTGGGACCCGCCCCGAATTGGACTAGTGTCAAAAAGATGAACCGATTGAAATATCTCAAAAAAAAAAAAAATATTATAAGAAACTTTCCCCCTTTTGTGGAATTATTAAGCGAAAAATTCATTGTATTACCAAAAATGTAAGAAATTGTCTAAATGAAAATTGGAAGCAAAATATGAAAAAAGAAGGTGGAGAGCTTGAACTCGTCAAAGTGCACAATAACCTGAATTAGTCCAACATCATGACAAAGCTAATACGAGCAAGGAAATTTGAAGATTGTTGTGAAGGTGTCGGGTTACTGCTGAAGCTGACGTATTGAAGTCGAAAGTGAAAGATTTGTTGGGCTTCCTCCTTAATGCTAAGCCTAAAGCCCATGAGGATCTAAGAAATCCTAAAACGCTAAACCTCTTCCTTACCTTATAAATACATTAGTTGTGGGATGGAGATAGGTTAGGAAAAAGAAAAGAAAAAAGTTGGCTTGTGAGATTTTAAAAGTTTTGAGTGAAAAACTCAAAGCTTTGATTTTGAGAGCACATCTAGGGAGAAACTTGAGAGTTACACCTCCTTAGGAAAGTTTGAGAGAAAACCACCATTACAGGTGAGGTTTGAGTATACCACCTTTGTTGGTGAAGTTTGATTTTTTGTAACCCATTATTTTCATAGTGAAGTTTGATTCTGGAATAGTGTTCCGTGAGTTTTTACTTCTTCACATTTTTCACGTTAAAATTTATTGTGTTCTTTTTTTTCTCTCTCCTCTGTGTTTTTCGCTTTTCCTCTGCGTTGGCCGACCTATTTGTACATGTCGACCTCTAATTGAAGAACCGAGCTCCTAACTCGATATTTGACTTCCGCAAAAGCTTCTTAGCCGAGATTGAGGGAACCGAATTCCCAACAAAAAGTTCAACCCATTATATCAAATTGTCAATCCACATTAGCCACAAAAAAAAACAATTATTAGCTAGTAAGAGCATAGTATTGTTGTTTGACTATATAACGTAAAAATAAGCATCAAATTCAAAAGGATTATCCTTAAGGACCATTTGATCAAACGGTGAGACTTATGAGAGATACATATCTTCAATATAATAAATACAATGAGATTTTATACGACAAGAATTAATTAATTAGTATCCAAACTTGACCTCTTTGCTGAAAGATGCATTCTTGTATTAATGCTGATTGTGATATTTACCATGAATACAAAGAGATGAAATTACTGAAAATTTTGGGGTGCAAATTAATATAAAAATTAGAGAATTGAAATGGATGAAACAAAACCCTGTGAAGAGAATGATTTTCACCCCACTCGTTGCTTACTATAGGGATATTATCAATAAATCTTACTACACACAAGGCGTTGATAGGAGAATAAACAAAGTCAGTATCTGTGTTATGTGGATGAAGAAACTCGGAAGGTATTAGATCCAATCGTATAAATGTATATTTTGTGTTTGAACCAATGTTATTAAACCCGACTTTAACTAGCCGGATTGACCCAAAATCCAATGAATCAATCATCTAACCAGTTCAAGTCAAGCAATAAACAGGTCATGTAATAACATAA